TAGAATGATGATCAGATGGACATCTGTCTCGTCTATAATAATTGGACGCAAGGTACACACCTTGTTTAGGTTCGACAATTCGTCTTCCACCAAACTTTTCTAAATTCAAACTTGGAAGCAAAAGAAAGATCGGATGCACATCCACATTTTCCTAGAATAATCAGGCGCAAAGTGTACATTTTTTAAAGGTCGGTTATTCATCCCTCTTAAAATCAATTCTAACTTACCATACTTATTTTTTCCGCTTCTGCCGTAGCATGATCAAATACAAACCTTTTACAATTAAAATCAATCAATCAACAATTATTTGATACAAAGAATTACATAACTTTGAATTTCTCATCGCACCTGAGGATATGTAAGAGTGAAATTTAATATCTCATCAAGCACTTTAGAAAAAATATTTTTTAATCTTTTTTTTTTTTAATTTATTTTCAGTAAATATTTTAAATAATAATAAGAAAACTTAAACATTTTAAGCTAACATCTTTCCAAAATTATTTGAATGGTTTTCGTTGAGTATAACGGATGTTGCGGGGTGTTATTACCTTCCCCGCGCATAATCGACTCCCGAACCTAAATTTAGTTGTGACGACCATCTTTTCGTTCTTCAAGGTTTTGTCGACCTCTCCCTTTAAAAATAAAACTTCGGTGGCGAATCTGTTGCATTTTGAGCGTTCGTACACTTGAGAATTCGACTCTTAGCTCGGGAACAATCCTCTATGACACGGAGCACAATGAAAATATATGACTATATCATGCCGTTTTCACCAGTCATAGGCTTCGCCCTAAGGAACACATACAACTTGCCAAAGCGCGGTGTACAAATCAATATACTACTACAACAAATGCTAAATGCAACAAACAAGCTTAGCAACCAAAAATGGTAGCTAACATAATTCAATACGCTAAATAATAAATCACAAAAATATGAAAATTAAAGAGGCATATCTGCCACTTCATTGCAATAAAGTGCACTATTTCCTTCAGAAAGCGAGCAATTATGGTTCTCACACCCCAAAAATGGTGTTTCGTCGTTGCCGATAGATGTCAGTGGTTTGAATTAAGCAAACAAATTTCACATCCTAAGGTAAAAGAGCAAGTCTCAGAGTAACAACAATCTGCAAACAATGAAAAGACGCAACACAATGACAATGATCAAGTGAAGACAAACACAAAACTCTAAGATAAATAATACCTAAATTGTCGAGGTAAAAATAATTTCATAAACATTAAATATTGTTACACCCAGACACAAAGACATGAGAAGCACTTCAGTAAATAAAATATTACAATGGAAAGAAATATCAAGCCGAAGCATCTATAGTTGAGGTACCCAAACTACCTTCTCATGTCACCGCAGGAGGAATCTTAAATAGGTCCAACGCCTCATCCAAAATCACGACATCAGGGAAGAATCCCTCTCCTGTTCCACAACTAGGTCACAAACCCCGAGCATAACCTACAAAGTCCGCTTAAGGGAATCATAAGCTTGCCTCAAATCGGATACCTCGTCTTGGATAGCTTTTAAGGTTTCGACATGAGCCTCAAATTCTTGAAGAAGAGCTTTCCAATGCTCATCCACTTGGAGATTCTTTTCCTAAAAAGCATTAAAAGCATTATGATACCGCTTTTATGCCTCTTTGAGGGCATCCTCCAACTTAGTTACACAAGAAATTATAGTGGAAGAAGAACCATTGGTTTTTGCCTCATCTTGCAAAGAGTTGGAAGCTTTAAGTTTCTCTTGCAATGCAACAAAGTCTCCCTAGAGAGTAAAGCACCCCAACTCCACAAGTTCTCATTTCGCTTTCCAAGCATCGCTTGAACATACTGTGAGCAATCTCAGAGATGAGTTCCATCATGCCTCCCTCGGGAAGATTTTGGATGAAGGATAAATATAACACTGAGACAATAGGAACAACCTCCTTAGGACTACGAGCAAGTTGGGAAGAGAAGACGTCTGACATCCATATGAAGGGAGTTACCTCCCTTGAGGCATCGTCCTTAGAGACACAGGTTCGTTTTGGAGAACCCTTATCCCAGAGGGATCAATGATCTTCATCTTGTGCCCTCTTTGTTGAAACTAAAGGTGGGGATGACTCCTCCATGGTTAAATCGCATCATGCATAACTTGGTTTACGTCGGGTGAAGAAGTTGAAGTTTCAGTGGTCGAGATATGAGTATAGGTCGGTGCAGGAGCAATGATCGCCAAAGGAGCTGGGGTAGAAGTGAAAGTCCTAATATTTACCTATGCCTGAATACCTTGAGAATATGCAAGGTTATAAAACAATTTCAACTTGTTAACCTTTTCCATGCTATATTTAAAACACAAACACACATGTAAAAACATAAGCACGAGGACTTCGGTATCACCAAACATCTTTTTTCCTCTCCTTCTGACTAACTACACTCAAAATGGTATGAGTGTCAATCCGCCTTTTTCTCACCTCGTTAGAGGGTATGTCACCAGGGCCGAACCCTTCCTTCTAGTTAAGCTCTTAAAACCAAAGTTGTATTTTCTCCTTCATTGCCACCTCATCCAGAGAAAGAGAGCCAAATTTGGTACAATAGGAATGAGTCTCCCTATTAAAGTAGATTTTAAACCAGTACTTTAGGTATAAACTCCTACAGAAGCGTGGATAATTGGTATGGAGGTAGCAAAAAACGAGATGGGCCATGAGTGTGATGGGCTTTAACAGTAAGAGTCGCCTTAAAAAGTTTCCATAGTCTAAAGTAAAGGGGTCGAACCAAGAATGAACCTGATGAAAGTTAATGAGCCCCTGACTATGGAAGTTGTCATGAAAAATGCGTCTCATATGGAACATATAAAGGAATAATCCAATGAAAGGCTTCTAAGATTTATGCTTAACACACATCTGAAGTACCCTTATGAATGCCTAAGACCTTGAATGAAGTTGGGAAGGACCAACTTTTACATGCTTCAGGGAATCTAACTCAAATTCAGAAAAGGGCAACCACAACTCTATTCTTGTGAACATACATTCACAAAATAGGATCATGCCACATTTATAGCAACCTCAGTGTTCATAACCAATAAAGTTCCCGCTATTTTTTGTGTCCATCCAATCGTACTCCGTTGTGTCTGGCTGGTCTCAAAGATCCAAATTGGCTTTCACATTAGTGTCGTTGAGCTCATAATTATTAGTCTTAAGGCGAAGCTGAATATAATCTTTAGTACATTATCCCCTCTCCCAGTTGGCTTATATCTTCTCTTCGAATACGACGCAAAGGGCATTGGGACCTAAACACGGTTAAATTCTCCACCAACATTTGATAACAAAGGTTTATAATAAGCTGATTAAATTCTTAGATACCCTTTATAAGTCAGAATCATCAGATAGAGGTATGATTTATAGTTCTAGGTGGTTTTGATTAAGAGGAGGAAGATGACAATCAGGGATGTCCCTATTATAGAGGGAAACAAAGTTTCGACTTCAGAATCACTCATTAGGTCAACCACACTAAACTCATCCTGGTTAGAAAATATAAAAAGCTGAAGATAAAAGCTTAAGTTTAGGATGATACATGGTTATGTGAAATCAGTGAAGCATGAGAAGATGAAGAAAAGTAAAGACTTTAAACAAAACACTGAAGATCACATCTAATAATATTCTCAAGGAAGAGGAAACATAAATTTTTTATGGCAAAGTAACCGTAAGTTTGAATGCCAGGGGTTGCGAAAACTTCCCCATACTTAATTTCCCCTGTGTATAAGTAGAAGCAACTAAAGGATTCAGATTAAATAGAGAGAAAAGTCACAAGATCAATAGCTAGATTTCCCCTCGTGGATACACGCGAAGTCTAGTGCATTCGAGTGCATTGTAAACTACTTCATGCCTTAGCTATCCACGTCGCCACATGTGTTAGAAGAAGACTATGAAACGTTTCAGTGATGAGGTTACATTTAATGCGCTTGTTCTCCAATACTTTTTTCAACTGATTCCGAATGTTTTAGTTCCATTTCACACCAGACCACATCTTAGAGGCTAACCAACATCACTTAAGGCTTCTCCCGACTCCTTTAATGTACAACAAAGCCTTGGAGGCAACTGTTAGGGGTCGGTCAAATGTCCAAATGGATAAGGCCCAATCCATCTAAAATCAACGCCACTTGACCCAAAGTATAAAGTTCCCACACCAATATCAAGGTACATTCATTGATCTCCACATTTCACCACACTCATCTTAAATCTTAAACTGACTTAAACGTTTGAGTGCTAACCATGAAAGTTTACTTCACACCGCTGTGAACGAGATCAACACCACCATTTAAAATTATCAATTATCTTTTAATTAGTTTGCGGTTTAGATTTTAACAACCAGACCCCTTATTTTAATAAATCCTTCCCTAAATTGACGTATAATATTTTTACAGAAGGTTGGTAAAATTTTCTTTCAATAAATATAAAATAAATATAATAAATAAGTAATGGGTATTAACACAATTTCTAGTTATTATTATTATTAAAAAGAAAATTAATTTTATAAATTTAATAAATAATTGATAAATATGATTTATATAGATTAAACTGATAAAATTTATTTATTTATTTATTTATAATAGTAACTATTGAAAATTATTTAAAAAGTAATGTAAACACCAATACGTAAAATATACGTATTTCTAAATACAAGTCAATCTCTGACAATTTGAAGTTGTGAGGGTTTTAAAGTTTAAAGTTTTGAAAAAATATAAATAAAAAACATTTTTTTGATTAAGATTAAAATAAAAAATTTGGCAATGTTTTGAAGACAGATTCAGAAATTTAAAAAAAAATTGGACCAAAGTAATTAAATGAGTCCAATCACGGTCATTCTCGGTAAAAAGCAATAAAGAAAAGTAAACCCAAGTCTCACGGTAAAAAAGAAAAGACACAAGACGCACTCTATGCAAAGGAATAAAAGAAAAATCTATCACCAACCGAGAAAACCGTTGATTTTTCCCCAAAATTCTCTCAGATCACAGAAACGATCGTGAAATGGCGAAATCCAGCGCCGACGATGTTGAACTCCGGCGAGCTTGCATCTCTGCAATTGAAGATCCTAAGCAGAAAATCATCTTATCACTCCGTGTCGCCAAGAGTCACGGGATCTTGGGAAAATCTTCCAAGCTTGGTCGTCAAATGGCCAAGCCTAGGGTTCTTGCTCTCTCCAGTTACCTATTTCTCTTTCTCTTCATGCTCTCAATTTAACTCCTGCTTATGCTTCTTGTTGTTTTGATTTTGCTTCTACGAGATTTTTTCAGTGTTTTAGCTTTGAAGATATTAACTACTCTGATGGGAACATTGATTTTTTAGTTATGACAATGACATTTAAAAGCTAGCTTCAATTTTCTATGCTGATTCACTTAACAAATAGTTGTTTAGGTTTTATGCTGCATAAGCTATTGTTTATTCAGTAATGCTGCTTGCTTTCATTTTTTATTATTCTTATTGCATTCTTATGATGAATTTTTTGAGATAACTAGTTGAATATTAACTGATTGGTTGAATAATTCGATGATGTTTGAGGGATGGTTAATTGATTGTGACCTGTGAGTGCTTATTTCATTGTGTTGTCCTGTAATCATTTGTTAAATTTCACATATGTATTGTTGTTGGTGACAACTTGCTATTTCCTGCAGCATTAACAAAGGGTCAGACAACTACGGCTTTTCTTCGAGTTTTGAAGTATTCTACGGGAGGAGTTCTTGAAGTAATTTTTTTTTCTTCCTTTCTTCTCTTTTATATTGTATATGCTTGATTTTTTAGACTGTGGGTTTCAGCTCATGATCTCCTAACACACACTTCATATCCAATGCACACCATTAAAAAAAACTCTTCATATCCAATGCACAAAGTAGCTAGAGATCTCTCTTTGGCTGTTGTTAGTTGTTACTCATGCCATGTTTATTATTTGCTTTTGTTTGATTGGCTTTATTGGACTTTGGAGGACTCGTGAGGCTCCTGTTCAAATATTTCTTCCTCTATAAACTGTTTTCTTGTAAATGCAGCCTGCAAAACTATACAAGCTAAAGCATCTCTCAAAAGTAGAAGTTTTGACAAATGATCCTAGTGGATGTACATTTACATTGGTAATGTTCCAGAACTGAAAGTGCTTATGATCTGGTTCTACACTTATCGTTCTCAGTTCCTTAATATCTTCCTAGTCAGTTGCTTCTTGAACTAATGGATGTTTATATCTTGTAGGGATTTGATAACCTTAGAAGCCAGAGTGTGGCTCCTCCGCAATGGACAATGCGCAATATTGATGACAGGTTGTATTGTCAAGAGGAATGTTGATCTAATAATGGCTTTAGTGGTTGAGTTCTATTCTGTGGGAGGAGAGGGAAGTTTGCTAATCATGTCTTTCTATTTTACTGTAGGAATCGTCTCCTTCTTTGCATCTTGACCATGTGTAAAGATGTTTTGGGTCGCCTTCCTAAAGTTGTTGGAATAGATGTTGTGGAGATGGCTCTCTGGGCTAAGGTACATATGACATCTTTTATAATCCAATATTTTAAGTATTTCTTGACTATCAAATAGCCATGATTCTGTTCTAATGAATACTTTTTTGCTTTCCTTAATAATAATAATAATAATAATTAGGTATTTTTTACCATGTATGAAATTATTGGAGTGTCAGTATTTCTGACTCATTATCAAATCCATGACTTTTTGCCGAGTAGGGGTGAGAATAGGGCATACCAACTAACAAGAGGCTTATGGCCTAGCCTACACAGACCAAAGCCAGACCTTTTTTTAATAGAAAAGACTTATGGTTTTTTTTAAGTCTATTTAGTTAAATAGGCTAGACCACAAGCCATAAAAAAATTCTTTTAAATTTATTAAGCCAACTTATTTAATAAATATGAATAAATTTATAATAATAATAATAATAATAATAATAATAATAATAATAACAATTATTATTATATTGTATTTTGTATTTTATATTAAAATATAAAAGTAAAACTTGGTTATCTTGAATAACTTACGAGAATAAGTTGAAAAAATCTTATGAACAATGTTATAAGTTGTTTTCATAAATCTCCTAAACAAGTAGTTTCTCAAAACTTATGCTACTAGGTAAACTCGGATAAGTCAGTGCAAACAAACATTAGGCCCATTGTTCTTTTGATTTTCTAGTCTATTTAAACATTAGTTGAATTGTTTATTTACATATATTCAAATGATATAAGCTTTTTAAGTAGACTAGTAGGCTAATCAAGCCTTCGAAAATGCCAGACTTATGCCTAAAAATAAGCTTATGATAAGCTATAGGCCATGCTTAGACTTAGAATTTTTTAGCAGAGACTTAGCTTGGCAAAGCCAAGTTCAGCTCAGCCTATTCCCATCCCTAATGCCGAGAATCTTAAACTCTAATCTGTTTGGAAGTTTCGAGTTGAGGGGAGAGAAATGACATGATGGAAAGGGGGCAAGAGTTTAAGCCCCTTGTTTTGATGCTTCTAAGTGAGTTAAGAAAGATAATTCTCTTTACCTTGCTTGGGAGTTAGAAGTTATGCAAATTGGGAAGTTACTTTCCCTGATTTAATTTGAATAAATCCTTTCTTTCCCCCTTCTTATCTCCCTTTCAAACATATTAATATTATAGATGTCTTCTTAATTTGAATTCTCTCTCATTTTGAACTTCACATCAGTGGTTAAATGCCGTTAAATAATTATTTTTACAAAATGTGAAATAGGAAAATAGAGCCCCTGTATCTACTCAGACTAATGTGCAAGATGGTGGCCCTGTTGCTTCCATTATGACTGAGAGAGAGTTGAAAGTTAATGTTGAAAAAGACCTTGTTTCCCAGGCAGAGGAGGAGGATATGGAGGACATGGAGGCTCTTTTGGGAACGTAAGTGATATTCTTCTCTGACTAAAATGTTAGGGATTAAATACTTATGATGAGTAAGAATATGATTGAAGTAATGTTTCTATTTATAAAATGCTGGATAAAGTCCTTTAAATTCTAGATACACAGGGAATTTCTGTCTTCCCTTATACTATTTCTAGTCAAATTTTATTTGCAATATAGGTATGGGAACAAGGTAGTACAAACACTTCAAAATTGCAGTGATACCCTTATTGGGTACGTATTCATGTAGGACACTTCAAAATTGTAGTGATAGCCTTGGTATAACTGTTTTTTTGCGTCTGTCGACTGACACTCTCCAATCGTCCAATGTTAACTGATGTCAAACGTATCATGACAAGAGTCTTAGTTTCTAGAAATTGCTTTTCAGAGTTATACTAGCTATTAGAAACTTGGTTGTTTGATGAAAATGTATATCTTGTAAGGTTTATAAACTTAGAAATTTTCTATGCGAAAATTCTTGATTTAAAGTTTAGTAATGCCGTATTTTAAGTTGGGGCGTTACAGTTTTTGTATTATTAGATACTATTTTTAACAGTTAAATATGTTTTTTGTCCCTATTAATTATTCATTTTTAAAATTTTATTCCATATAAATGTTTAGTCCCTAGGTTTTATAAAAATGAGTGGTAATTTTTTAAGGGATTAAACTTAAAAGATTCCTAATTTTTTAGGGACTAAATATTGTTTAACCCTATTTTTAATCATATGGATATTTTTTATTTGTCGCTGTGCAGTTTTTATTCTGTTTGATTACCTTAATTTGGTGATAGGAGCTCCATATATTTGAGGTGTAATCGCCCTTTGTTAATTAATCTGATTAAGAGAATTTTGTCTGATCATTTTCTTTTCAATAGTGTATACAATCACTCACACTAACTTTTAAAGCATGTCTGAGAAGTATTTTACACTTTTTATTTTTAATTTCTTTTTTATCACAAGACAAATGGAAATACCACAACCATCAGATAAGTGTTTTATTGTATCTACAATCACTTATGCCAACTTTTAAAACGTTGATTTTTTTCCTTTTCCCTTTCGATTTATTATTTGTTTTTTTAAGTAAATTTTAAATTTGAATTGGATTTGTGCGTTGTATTATAGCCATGCTATGTCCTATAATAACAAAAAAATTATTTACCCCTCTGTTGTATCATATATGTGTTTGTATCGCATCCGGGGTCAAATCTATGTACAAGGCAGTTGCCCCCACAGGATAACTTTTGTTGGCTACCATATTTAATAAAATTTTATTCTGCTTTTAGAAATTTTAAATGTCGCCTAAATTTATTCTTTCATAGAGATATTTTAATATCTATCATGGAATAATTGTATGGCATTTGAAATTTGCGACAAGCAATTTGGTAATTTTCAACTCTCAAGAAGCAAGTATGTCTCCACTATCAAATGTTTTTGGATCCAACCCTGGCCGTTTCCACATTTCCTAGTGTAGGAAATTCATGTATTAACAGACAATATTGAAACATTTGTCTGAGTTAAAAAAAAATTATGTCAGTTGGACATGCATATGCGCGATATCACATATTTCACAATTTCAATGTCAAATTATTGAGATTTTCTAATGCGCAGTTATGTGATGGGTGTCGGTGAAGCAGAAGAATTTTCTGAAAGACTTAAGAGAGAGCTCCAGGCTTTGGAAGCAGCAAATGTGCACGCCATTTTAGAAAGCGAGCCATTGATAAATGAGGTATTATTGTTCTCTGAACTGACTGCTTTTCTTTTGCTGTTATTACCTTCCTTGATATGATCCAACTTGGAGATCATTAACAATGAGGATCTTTCCCTATGACTTGTACCCAAATTTGCAATAAGAATTGAAATTAAAAAGAAAAGAAGTACACACCTGGAAGCACTCTTTATGCAACCAAAACATGATCTTTCAAGATGAAGAGAATCCGTAAATCAAACTAAAGCTAGATCGACTATGTTGAAATTAAGAACAATAAAAGACGGAGGATGGGTTGTAGTATAGAATAAGGAGAGCAAACATGACAAACATTTGAGTCACGTCACAACTCTTTGTCCTATACATTGTTTGGTTGACAATGGACAACACAAGAAAAGAAATGACATTGACCTAAATACACTATATATATATATATATATATATATATATATATATATATATATATATATATATATATATATATATATATATATATATATATATATATATATATATATAGGATAAAATCAATTGACAACCGGCGTTACAAGAATATTTTGACACCAAATTATATTCGGTAATTTTGTTTCGTCAAAGGCTCCTATTTATTTTCTTAAATGCTCACGTGTTTTTTTTGGTCATGTAGTCTAGTGACTAAAATTCACCTTTTTAAAGGTGAATAAGTAGGATGCCGCGGGTTCGAACCTGCACCCCTACATTTGATGTCCCTACACAGCTACTAACTGAGCTGGTTGGTTTAACGAAGCTATTTTTTGTTTTCTCTCGATGATGAAGAATAATGGATATATCTAGTTTACATCATATAGATCATCCCTTCAAAATTTTACTAAAAACTAAAACAATTTATATGTTGGTTCAAACGAATACTAAGAACAAAAGTTGGTTAAACATTATAAATATTTTTATGATAAAAGACTAATATGACACGAAAAAAAAGAAAGTTTGATACTTTAACAATAGCAGCAATAAAGTCTTCTTACTCTAAGTGAAATCGACTACATAGATCAAACTATGACCTAATGTTCTATTAAAAATCATGTTTTTATCCAACTCATTAATCTCACGATTTTTCTTAATATTTTTTCTTATTGTTTATCTAGGTCTTCCTTATAGTTTAGCGGGTTGACTATCCTCCGATCTACTTTTCTTACTACATAATTCACGGGTCTTCTCGCTACATACACAAACCACCTAAGTCTAATTTGCACTATCTTTTCAATTATTGGCACTACTCCAACTCTCTCTCTAACGTTGTCATTTCTAATTCTATCTTTTCTACTATTGGCGCTACCTCAACTCTCTTTAGGAAAGAGGATCTCTTTGAAACTTTAACAACAACAACAAAGTCTTATTCCTCTAAGCGAGATCGACCACATGGATCAAACTATGACATAATGTTAAAATCATGTTTTTATCTAACTCATTAATCTCACGATCTTTCTCTTATTGTTTATTTAAGTCTTCCTCTATGTCTAGCGGTTTGACTATCCTCCGATCTACTTTTCTTATTACATAATTCACAGCTCTTCTCTCTACATATCCAAGCCACCTAAGTCTAATATGCACTATCTTTTCTAATATTGACGCTACCTCAACTTTCTTTCTAACACTGTCATTTCTAATTCTATCTTGTCTAGTCCACACATCCAACATAACATCTGCATCTCTGGTACACTTAATTTATTTTTGTGTTGGTTCCCATCATTCTGTTTGTACAACATCCCCGATCGTACAATAGTTCAATAGAATTTTCTCTTCAGTTTAAGTAAAACTTTCATATAACCTAAAATACTTGAAACCATCCAATTTGAATTCGACGATTTTTGTCTCCTTATATTTCTGAGTCGTTTTGTACTATGGACCTAAGATATTTAAACCATGTGACATGTGGTATGATACGATCTTCAACTTTCACTTCTAAATTAAAAACGTTTCTCATTTTTCTAAGCTTACATTTCATATACTTTGTATTGCTTCTGCTGGAAGCCATATGCTTATAAGGCTTGTCTCCAACCTCGTATTTAATTCCTCCCTCGACTCTCAAAGAATAACTATATCATTAAGACATACATCTCAGTGCTAGCTATTGGATGAGTTTTTCGCAAGTACATCCAAAATTAAAGTAAAAAGGTAATGACTTAGGGTTGAACCTTGATACCATCCTATTGTTATGGGAAAATTATCCGTGTCTCCACCCTGTGACTCTGTCCTCACACTAGTCGATACCCCCCATACATATTTTGGATAGCTTGAATATAGGCAATTCTAGCCCCTTTCTTCTCTAAAGCTTTCCATAAGATCACACGCCTTCTCCAAATCAATGAAAACTAATTGCAATTCTTTTTGATCCATCTGATATCGCTCCATCAATGTAGTAAATAGATCGCTTCTATGGTCGACCTCGTATGTATAAAATCAAATTGATTATCAGTAACTTCATGGTATGACTCCACTCTTTTCTTAGTCTCCATTCAATCATTCTTTCCTATAACTTCATGGTATGACTCATACTGTTAACCCACTATAATTTGCACAGTTTTGTTTATCCCCTTTGTTCTTATAAATCCATTTGTTAACATGTCAATCCACTTTTGTATGTGATAAGATGTTCATCTTTTTTTCTAAAGCATGTATTAACTATAGTAAGAGCAAAGGCGAATGAAATTCTAGAATGAATTTACCCTCTGCATTTGCCTCCCCGAGGCCACTCTTTATGTAACAACAATAACCAATCCTTATCCCACTAAATATGATCGGTTATATGGATCAACTTCCGCCATAATGTTCTTCTATTATGAACCATGTTTCTATCCAAATTGTTAATCTCAAGATATTTCTTAATAACTTCTCTTATAGTTTTTTCTAGATCTTCCTCACTCTATATGCATGCCCTCAAAATCTCTCGATACACTCTCTACATGCCCATTTAGATCTCTTCCTAGAAAAATGTTTTCTCCTTGTGGTATATCCTCAAATAAGTTTGTAACTCCCCATGAAATTTTACTTTAAGATGTTTTACTAACACAACCTGAAGTGCGTAAGCACTAATAACAATAAGTTGTCTTGTTCCATTAGAAATTTCAGGGCTACGATCTGATCTTTCACCCTTTTTACATCCATAATATTCTTTTTTCATTCCCTGTCAACAATAATTCCTACCCTATTTTTTGATTTAACTTTGCCAATGTACCATAACTTATATTCTAAGTTGTCCGATTCTCTCACCTTTTTACCCACCCACTTAGTTTCTAGTAGGTTCATAAAATTGATTTTCCTTCTAACCATAATGTCCATTATTACCATTGTTTCCGTGTAAGAGTGTTTATATTCTATGTTCCAAAACAAATCCTACTCTTATGAACTAATTTATTTACAAACACCTGTTCACAAAAATGTTATGCTTATTTTTTTTACTGCATCCAGGCGGTGATGCAACAACCATTGCTCATTTGACATTGTACTCAAGCTTTACAACGCACTGTTTCCGGGCAACGGCCTAACATTAACATTATTACGTATTTGATCCATGTATCAAGTTAAATTTCTGCTGGTGCAGTTTTGTCAAAGTCGTAATATGTCTCCAAATACTTTTCTTGTAATATCTTGAATCTTACCATATAAGATTGTTTTTTAAATAATACATTTGTAATAAGCTTAAAGCTTAATATGCTTTGGCATGAGGAGGAAGGTTAGAGTATATGAAAATATAGATTTTTTTTAGGAAGGATTAATGCTTTGTCTTATGTAATAACAACAACCAAACCTTATCTCACTAAGTGGAGTTGACCACATGGACCAAATGACACCACAATGTTCTATTGTATATCATATCTCTATCCAACATATTAATCTCTTGACCTATCTCCTGTAATAAATAACATTCAGCATAATATCATTCACATCAATATTAATATTGTTGTAACATTATGTAAAATTTATAGTAAGTTGTCTGTCGCAGGTGTTGTATGGGCTTGAAGCAGCAACAAATTGTGTAGAAGATATGGATGAATGGTTAGGCACATTCAATGTAAAACTCCGGCACATGAGAGAGGATATTGCATCAGTAAGGGCTTGTAACCTTCAAGCGAGACTATATTTTTCCTTGATACAACTTACCTTGTGGTTGAAAGGGTTGTATTTGCTGGAATCACTACCCATTTGTTTGGTTTCTTTGTTCCTTTGTTAATGCAAGAAAAGGAAATTTATGCATTAGTCTAGTATGCTGTGTTCAATTTTTATGGTCCAACCTCGTTTATATTGATGTTATCTGTTTTGTTTTCTGTTATAATGTTAACTCATTTTTATTTGTATCTTGAAATTTACTTCCCAAAGTCCGTAAGTTAAGAAAAGGAAATTAAACACCCATCTCTCCTAATATTTACGTTTGCTTGGAAACAGCTGCTCGGTGATTTTTTACACTGTCCAATCCAGTTAAATTAGGAATGGATACCAAGAATCTCTGGCGGATCTTGGTTTTTCCTGCTTAAATTAGAGCAGCTTTTTATTTGTTTGAGGGGTTAGTGGCTGTAAGATAAGAGAAAAGAGAGAGAGAGAATTGAATCATTTATTCTGAAAATTCTGTTATTGATTTTTAAATTCAATTTGTGTAATAACTATTACTAACTTACCCTCTGTGAATTGATATATTCAATATTAACTTTTCAAATTCCAAGATAAATTAGTAGTATTAATTAAGGTTTGTTTGGAAAATAACTAAACGCACCTGGTAATTTTAAAGACTGCTTAAACTTAGGGGACACATTCTACCCTCCTAAAGGTACTAAAAATTAGGAACTGAGAGTATTAATCATGCTTAGTAAGTGTAAATTTCTCTTGTTAAAGGAAATTATGCTGCCTCTTGATTTGAAGTGTACAAACATCATCTCTTATCCTCTTTGGAGTTTGTCTTATGGCCTCACCAGGGCATTTTGATATAGAGGGATTGAGAGTTCTCTCTCTCTGCCACCACCTCTCTCTGGTGTGCGAATCAGTCGTGTGGGTATTTTACTTTTTATCCACTTTCCAGTATAGTGTTTTCTAACTTGTCTTCTTTTCTCTAACAGAAAATAAAAAAACTTTATTTTTCCCTTTTTAATATCTTCCTTTTGAGTTCAAAATGATATTACTCAGATATAGATGATGTCTTTGAAAATTTAGTTTGTAGTTTAGAAGCAGCCATTTTTTTGGTGCTGTGAAATTTGTTTTCTGCTTTGAATTTTTTATTCACTTCTGTTTGCTTCTCTAAGTTGTCTAGTTGATATGATTTCAGATTATAAGTTTTAAAATTTGCGGGTCTCTTACTTGTGTTTGTTTTAATGGTGTTTCTGTGTCCAGATAGAAACCCGTAATAACAGCTTGCAAATGCAGTCAGTAAATAACAAATCTCTCATTGAGGAGCTTGATACGCTTCTTGAGCGGTTGCGTGTCCCTTCTGAGGTATGCCTATGATTGGTAAATTTGTATCTAATTTTAGCTCAATGTACTTACCTAGCTTAGTTATTTTAATGATGCCTTTGTGGGTGTAGTATGCAGCGTGTTTGACAGGAGGTTCATTTGATGAAGATCGGATGCTGCAAAATGTAGAGGCATGTGAATGGCTGACTAGTGCCTTGCGTGGTCTTGAAGTGCCCAATATTGACCCTACTTATGCAAACATGAAAGCTGTATGTTCTCTGTTTCTCTTCTCTTGTTAAATCATCTGCCAAAGCATGTTGATTATGAATTATGATTTATCCATTTAGGAGACAGTTTTTTTCATGGGACATTGAGTGCTTGTTGTATTGTTAGAGAAGTATTATTTGTTAGAGATGTATCACGGATATGGTTTTTATTCATTAATTTCTACCGTTATAATTGGTTGGTTGGAGAGAATTGAGACTTCTATATGAATTTGGGATCAAAGAGAGAGTACTCTGGAAAATATGTATGTGACTTAAAAGTTATCTGTTTTGATCAGTCTCCCTGCTCTACAGGTTAAAGAGAAGCGTGCAGAACTTGAAAAATTAAAATCTACTTTTGTCAGGAGAGCTTCTGAATTCTTGAGAAATTACTTTGCTAGTTTGGTGGACTTCATGATAAGTGATAAAAGCTACTTTTCTCAGGTATTTTCTATAAATTCAATACTGAATTGTTACTTTTGAAGTCTTGGATTGAATCTATTGGTTTCACATTGTCTCCCTGCTTACTCTAAACAGCGGGGACAGTTGAAGAGGCCTGATCATGCTGACCTGCGGTACAAGTGCAGAACATATGCTCGTCTTCTTCAACATTTGAAGGTTTAAATATGAAGGACCTACTATCCCTTTGGCATTTGTATATTGAGTGATATTCTTTGTTTTCTACCTAAATTATCTTCCTACGCACTTGCAGAGTCTTGACAAGAATTGCTTGGGTCCACTTAGAAAAGCTTATTGCAGTTCTCTAAACTTGCTTCTTCGCAGGGAGGTCCGTTACATCATATTGCTTTTATTTGTTTCTTTATCATAAGATGTCAAAGTTTGTTCCACAACTTGCTCTTTTATCTTTTATAAACTAAGAAGTAACCTTATTACATGTGAGTTCTAGATCACATGTACTTTTTATGTTTTTGTATGCATATTAATGGAGTTGAAAGTTTCACACATTTATTTACAGGCTCGGGAATTTGCAAATGAACTCCGTGCTAGTACAAAAGCATCTAGAAATCCAACTGTTTGGCTTGAAGGTTCAACTGGTTCTGGTCAGAATGTAAATGCCACTGATACTTCTACAGTCTCTGATGCATATGCAAAAATGCTCACAATCTTTATCCCACTTCTGGTGGATGAGGTGAAAGCTTAATATTCCTTTATTTTTTACACAAATTTATCTGATATTTAAAGTGTATAACTCTTCATGGTTTACATTGCAGAGTTCGTTTTTCGCACACTTCATGTGCTTTGAAGTTCCCACACTTGTTCCTCCTGGAGGTGTTGTTAACGGAAATAAAGCTGGTTATGACGATGATGATGATTTGGGAATTATGGACATTGATGAGAATGACAGTAAATCTGGTATATATTTCCGACTTTCTTCATATAGTGGTCTTGTGTTTTTGAATTTATATCTAGTTTATAGTAGGATATATTTTCACTTGTTGGTCCATACCATAAATATTCAACAAGGTTTTATTTAACTCTTAACTGGGTAACACAACCCTCCAATCTGCCCTATGTATTGCAAAATCCTCCAATCAGCGTTATGAATTGCATGTAGACATTCTATAGGTGGTTTGTGCATGTGTGGAGAATACCAGTAGAAGCATCGTTAAGGAGGATAATCCAATAGGAAATAGTCCAATAGTTAGAGGTAAAAGGAGACAACTCTTACCTGAACCATTAGAAGAGATTTAGATTAAATGGTCTGTCATTATTAATGACAGCATGGTTTATTATAGGACGTTTACACCATTTGATTCATATATCGTTTAATTAATGCACACAGCTGACTCCATCTAAAATAGTTTAGTTGTTGCTAAATGTAGTTTTTCTAAAATTTTTTTTGGTAAATTGACCATTTTTTTTCATTTTGCAGGAAAAAATTCCGCGGAGCTTGCAGCTTTAAATGAATCACTTCAGGATTTACTGGATGGAATTCAAGTATGCATAGAACCATCTCTACTTTCAAATCTACTCTTGTTGTGATAAGATGTTTTTGTGATACATATGTAAGTAGAAGAAAAGACATCATTCACAAGAAATTTTTTAAAGAAAATATTTAGAAACTAAATGGGAGGCCATTGAAGGGGTTAACATCCAGCGTAAGTAGTGAAAGCAGGGTAAATCTGACTGTTCCTGCTCTATCTCTTTCAGCTTAGTCAATCTTAATCCCAAAAATGACCTCAAACAATCTTGATAGACATAATATGGACAGAGCAACCAACCTTTGGTTCCAAGAACCTGTGCAAATCAGCTTCCAAGTCCAACCCCCTTAACCAGTCCATTATGAGCAGCTACTGACACCTGATGATTAGGAACATAAACTACAACGGTAAAGAGGGTCCAAGTTTACGGTTTTGTGTTTTCATCTCTCTAACATAGTTGAACTCCAACTGTACCAAAATCCAGGATAAATTGGGGAGTGGATATGGCTTAATTCTCTATCCTTCCCCCCCTTAGTGACAGTGTGAATTTCATATATTTGCACACTTCTGGTTACCTCACAGCTTTCTAGAGGGTAATAACAGTTTGTACAAACAAGTCTTCTACATATGTATCCTAAGTATAAAATTGAGTCTCTCTAAGTCTCTGACAGAAACTAGATGCCAGAATGCACTAATTTTGGTATACAAAGCAACATTTAAAACGAACCCTAGGCAATATTTTTGGATTTTTTGATTGGTCAATATGACGATCCTTATAAAATGATATTTTAAGTTGCAGGTAATTTAGTATATTTTAAAAGCCAGTTTTTACTAACATAGTTACAAAAAAGAAGAAGCCAAATTTTACAGCTATAAAGATGCTCTATATGATTTCAGGAAGACTTTTATGCTGTTGTGGATTGGGCATACAAGATTGATCCTTTACGCTGCATATCAATGCATGGAATAACAGAACGTTATCTTTCTGGTCAGAAAGCTGATGCAGCAGGATTCGTACGTCTTTTGCTTGGTGACCTAGAGTCTCGGATATCTATGCAGTTCAGCCGTGTAGGTTACTAGAGTATTGAAGAAGAGTATATTCCCAAATACATTTGGAAGATTGAGACACTAACCCAATTCATTTGATTGGAAATCTTTTGGCAGTTTGTTGATGAAGCTTGCCATCAAATTGAAAGAAATGAACGCAATGTTCGCCAAATTGGTGTCCTATCCTACATTCCAAGGTAAAATGAATCCATATTTTCTACTTTTCCTCTTCTCCGAACTCCAAAGAATTAATGTTCTTTTTGAGCATTATAAAACAGTTGTATCATACAAATTATATTGCAGTGAAATGCCCCTAACCATCTTGTATTCATATAAGATATTGTTACACTACAAATTTTCTCTTCTGGTACTAAGCTTTTTGTAAATTGCTGAGTTATGGGGTTAGTACGTTTTTGATTTCCTGAAATATACATGACCTTTCTTAATCATTCCTAATAATTTACCTTTTGAGTGAAGTTTATCTCTTTAATTTTGGTATTTAGTTGAGTTTATTTTCGTAGTTTGGTTTAATTGTAGATGGAATCATTGACATAGTTGGTGATGTGTGTGGAGATACATAGCCATAAGAATCACATGAAATGCATAAATCATCTTACCTTGCATTGCATGCATTAATGTATTAAACTTCTAATGTTTCCATCTATTTTGGAGCCAGTTCCTAATTAACAATTGTGAGGACCGGCATGAAAAAAAATTTGAGTGAAGTTGAAAGTCTATGTTTTTAGATATCTAATAAGTAATAACCTCTCAAATTTGTATGCTTTTCCTTTGGAAATGGTTTCTCCGACATTTTGGATTCAATGCCCAAGATCACATTTAATACTATACATATTAATTGCTCCGAGATACATAATATTAAAGTAGAGAATTCTCTTGGATTGCTTGGTGTTAGAGAGTCCTACATCAAAATGAGATATGACTTGAAAATATGTTTATATAAGTGGTGCACACTCCTCACCTTACAAATTGATTTTTTGTAGGGTTGCTTAGAACCAACTTAAATTTTAAGATAGTATTAGAGTGTGATTAAGGATGGTTAGGTGATAATTATACCCAGGACCCACGCTTGGCGGGAGCGTGGATATTGAAATTATACTAGAATCCCTTATTGCCAAGGTTCTCGGTTGTTGGATGTTGTTGATATTTGTATATATTGTTGAGAATATGTATATAAAAAGTCCAACGTCAACTATAGCATGTAATTAGTTGTAAATCTCTCTCTCTCTCTCTCTCTCTCTCTCTCTATATATATATATATATATATATATATAATACAGTCTCCTTAGTGTTTTTTAGACATAGGGATTTATTCAAATGTCTTTTAATCTCTTGTATTTCAACGGATGTATGTATGTGCTTGGACACCTTTATCTTTTGAGTTAGATTTTGGGAGTGAGAGCCAAACCCATATAACATGGTATTAGAGTCTATCCGTCAGGATACCCATGATTTTTATCCACGCACCAAGTCCAAAAGTACTCGGCGTAAGGGGTGTATGGAAAAATTTAACTCCCACATTGAATAAAGATAAGGCCTGAAATGAGTTAATTGTCATTCTCACCTTACAATATGGTTTTCTTAAAATAGTTAGACCAGTATAAAAACTAATATGGTATATGAGCTTATGGTTTTCTTAAAATGAGTTAGACCCAGTATAAAAACTAATATGGTATATGAGCTTATTCAAAATCTGTTGGGGCCACCAGATGCCCAGTCCTGTGCGTGAGGGTGTGTTTTTGGAGTCCCAAATTGGATAAGATATCACCTGAAAATATGTATGTACTAGATAAGACCTGTGTGATGCGCGGATGTTAATTTGTTTTTATTTTTATATTAAGTTTTAATTATTTTAGTTTTTTTTTTTTTGATAAATATAGTTAATATATTTCTATTATTCTAATTTATTATGAATTTCTTTTGACAAATATAGTCAATATATTTTTTAGCAACAATATGAAATAATCATAAATGAAAAGAAAAATGTATACCGGTAAATTGAGAGTTACATATAAGATTTAATTTTACAAATTTAAATAATTATAACAAATATTATTGTTGGTGTTTTTTATTTTTTACTTTCACTCTCAAAGATAGTTGAAGTGTTGGTCAGATAATGCGCTGTGATTTAATATATTATATAGATTTATTTTTTATACTTGTATCTATTTTAGATATTTATTTTAAATTATATAGATATGTATTATGTGATGCATAATATATTTAAATTTTAGTTATTAATAAAATTTTAAATTTTATTATATAGAATTTTAATAAAAAATTGTAGTGTTTATTTATATGAATTTTTTAATGATGTACAAATAGTTGATACATAAACCAGTATACAATTGTTTTAGTTTTATAAGAAATAAATAATTGCAAAACAAATATAAATAATATTCTTTAAAATTTATGAAAATAATTCATTTTTGCCTTTGACAAGGTTCGAACCCGTGACTTTTCATAGTGAAAAAATGTGTTTTTTCTTTTTGAAAAGTGAAGAAGAATTTTGGAGTGTGTCACATAGAAATATGAATGATGTGGGGCAAAGATAGTTGAAGTGTCAGTGAGATAATGCGTAATTTTGATTTAATATATTATATAGATTAGTGGTGAGCAGTCTTTATCTTACAAACTGATTTTGTGATTTTGTATGGTTGTGTTAGACCCAACCCAAACTCAGTGGCTTGAGACTTCATATGCGTAGAATATATAAAATGTACTTTGTAAAGATTATGGTAGTCCGATTATTTTCTACTCCATCAACTTTAGGAAAAAAGAATTTATGTTTTTTGGCAAATAAAAATATCTATTGATCACGTGCTTGTAGTTATTTAAATATAATGAATGTTGGTATTGTATCATATCAGCGTATAATTAGGTGTAGTTCAAAACAAGGTCAGATGGGTGAGATATGTGAAATATGGTTCTTGTTTAATGAGCAATTACAGCTGCTAATATTTACTAGTTTCTAGTTTGTATTTATTTAAACTCAATCTTTCTTCATAGTCGATATTAAATGCGTCGTTAATTATTTTGCACAGATTTGCAACCCTTGCAACTCGTATGGAGCAGTACATTCAGGGACAGTCTAGGGATTTGGTTGACCAAGCATATACAAAATTTGTAAGTCATTCTTTAAAACACTGTCCTTTTTTTATGATTTCTTAGGACTTTGATGGGAAATCAAGCATTTGCTTCCCAAAATGCAGAGGATAAAAACCAGTGAACTCTCTTCCAAGAGTTTCTTTGTCTACTATCACTAAATGTTTACATTAATCAATCAATGCCCTCGGTTCTTGTATCCTCCTATTTATACAAATATTTCTCAAATTAACCAAGCAACTAATCAATTTATCTACTCAAATGTCTCTTATTCTGTATCCTAAGACAGACAGTTACTTGAGAACTTTCATTTATTGATCATCACATTTTTATCTGCAGTCCAAATAGGTGGAAAGAAATACATTATCAGTTTTTATTTCAATGTGCTGAGTAACTATTGACATAATGTTTGCTGATGGTAATGTTACTTAACAGGTTAGTGTAATGTTTGCAACCTTGGAAAAAATATCACAAACAGATCCAAAGTATGCAGATATTTTTCTTTTTGAGAACTATGCGGCCTTTCAGAATAGGCAAGTGTTTCCACCGCCCTTCTGCCAAGAGGCTGTTTCAGTTCTTGTTTAGTAAGATAACTTTGCGAAGAAGACAACTGATATTTTTAACTTGTTGTATTTTACTTAGTTTGTATGACCTAGCCAACATCGTGCCCACTTTGGCCAAGTTTTATCATCAAGCCAGTGAAGCCTATGAACAAGCTTGCACACGCCATATTAGCATGATTATATACATTGTGAGTGAATTTTTCCCTATTTTTAAAATCATTATTAGGGCCCAACCCATTAACACTTTTTTTTCCCTTGTGAAGCAATTTGAACGCCTTTTCCTGTTTGCTCGAAGGATTGAGGACTTGATGTTCACCGTTGCACCTGAAGAGGTTAGTTTGTATAATGCTGTCCTGTTAATCCTTCATAGCCTCTGGCTATACAGTATCTCACCATATCTAGAACCATTGTCTTAACAAACTGGATACAGTTAAGTATAGACCAGAAAGTGTTTTTTGAATTGTTTTAAGTAAAATTTCTTATGGGCGGTTTACTTTTGTATACACTAAACAAGAATTGCAATCATAAATATATTGAAACAAGTTGAGAATGAAAAGGATTGGAAACAATTATGTCAATTGAAAGTCTGGTCATTTGACTTTCAACAATCTGAAAATTCTAAAATATTTTACCTCAATTTCAGATACCTTTCCAGCTTGGGCTGTCAAAAATGGATCTTCGGAAAATGTTAAAATCCAGCTTATCTGGGGTAAGATGATTCTTTTTCTTCTTTAAATAGCCTTCATATTGTTGTATGTTTATTGTGTAAATTATATTTTTTGCTCTTTTACCTAGGTTGACAAGTCCATTAATGCCATGTATAAGAAACTACAAAAAAATTTGACTTCAGAAGAATTGCTACCTTCCTTATGGGACAAATGCAAGGTATGCTGTACTTAATCCTTATTGGCCAGCAACGATATCTCATATTTACATTAGTTCAGTTTATTAAGAACCAAAGCTTACGTAGTAAATACTACCAACCTAGGGATGACAATTTGACCCATCTCCAATGGATATCTGTAAAAATTATCCACAACGGATAGGGTAAAAACCCGCAAAATAGATACGGGCCCGGGCATGGACAATTATCCACTAAAATAAACGGGTATGAGTGCGGATAAGGATACTTTAATATCCAACCCGCTCCATATCTGCTCAATATATATTTATATATTTTTATTTTCATTATCATGTACACATGTTAATCTAACAATTTTATTAATCACTTAAATTTCTACACATTTTAATATAAATGTTTGTTTATTTCTTAACTCAACATTTACATCCTCAAATTTTTTTAAATGTTGGTAAAAAATTAAAATGACATAATAAATTATAATTGATCAATCATTTTTTATTAGAAATGCGGGTAAATGGGTATGAGTATATGGGTACTTAGGTACCCATAAGATACGAGTACATGTACAAACGTTGGTGCTCATGCAGGTGGGGTTCGGATATGAGAATTTTTTTAAATTGTGGATTTGAGGACAGGTACTAGTACCTGTCCAAGTCCTGCCCATTGCCATTCTTATACCAACCAACCGAAGTATTTTATTTTCCATGAGTTGAGCCTTTGTGCTAAGAGAATATGCAATTTTACAATCTTTGAGATACATGCAAAAGGCAATTGAATTGGATTTAAATGATATCTACTAGTAATGTGCAGTTCTTGTGAATGGAAAGATTGTAAAATGAAAATAAACATGTTGGGAACCAGTTAATTATAGAAAAATGATTACTTTTTGTAAATACTTAGGAAAATTTTTAAAAAAGAACATTTGAGATGAGCAAATTCAAACAGACACAGAAAGTGCATTAAAGTGAACAATCTCTTTAACTTTTTTGCAGAAGGAGTTTCTTGACAAGTACGAAAGTTTTGCTCAACTTGTGGCTAAGATTTACCCTAATGAGACAATCCCATCTGTTGCAGAGATGAAAGACCTTTTAGGCAATAGCTAACATGTAAAGGATGTTTGTGTTTGTATAGTTTTCTCTTTTCCATCTTATAATCTTCTTTTTTTTTTTCCTTTCATTTTTCATTGTTGTATGTAACTTTATTTATTCAATAAAGCACATCTTTTTGTTGATTTAACTTTGGAACATAATTTAACTATCTTCGAACAAATGTGATGAAAGTGTGCACACTTGTTCTAACTTTTATTATTTTAATGAGATGTGAATGACGTGATAAAGGGAAAATGAGAGTTAGAAAATGAACTCTTTTAATTTTCAATGCAATATATGTCATTTAAGACTTGTTTGAGTTTTTCCTTTGTTTCTTTCTATAAGGCTCTTTTAAATTTTCAACTACATTTTGTTTTCCCAATATGTAATAAATGTTTTATAGAAACATTACTTTTATTGTCTTTTTTCCGGGATAAGATCCTCTCCATTTCTTTGTCTCTCCATTTTCTTCATTACTATAGTTTTGTGTGTAAATAACACACATTTCTAAGACATGTGACATATGATTAATATTTAGTTGATTTTATATACATAAAAACTATAGTAATGGAGAAAATGGAGAGACAGAAATGGAGAGGATCTTATCCCTTTTTTTCCACAAGGATTCTTGTAACCCATTATCTATATTGGTGGGACACCTCATTATTAGACCAATAATTGTGTGTGAAATAAATGCTGAAGTGACTACAATTTCAGGCAAAAGTTTCTTTCACTTGTATCCATCAATTTTGTGGAAAATTTAATATTTATTTCAGATTTTAGAGATGCATATTTGAGTGCATCTTTGCATCATCTATTTTATAACACATCAAATGAATGTCATCACAAATTTAAACAAAATTTTATTTTGGAGATACATCTTGTAATATTTTAAATTCCAAAACTTATAATTAAAGCATTAAATGACAATTCAAGATGTCATCAACGACAATCTTTTAGAACACATCAAATTATTTTGAAACCATGCAGTAGAAAAACAATTTTTAACATAACTTCATAACCATCATTACCATCACCATAGGTAAAGCTTTCGATCCCTATCATAGAATTAGAGCACATCAAATCATTACATCACCATAGGTAACGCTTCACCAGCTTTCATATGAAACCGGCTACTCTCACTCTTGATCTCCACCACAAGACTAATGCACACCAAAGTTTGTTACCATTACCATATATAACACCTCACTAATTCTTTATTAGAATTAGCTACTTGCTCCCAATCCATACCATCGAAGTAGAGCACATCAAAATTCGTACACCATGATACATGATTCTCAACAACATACATTATCACCAAAAAAAAATTCACCAAAAGAATCACTATGCATTTCTCACCATTTATGAAAAACATCATTCATCATACACAATAGTCAATCAATGTTACGACATTAATAAACAATAACAAACAATAGCCATTCAACAAATGTAACTTCATAAGCATTCATTCACATTACTTCACCACAACCAACACATCATTATATAAACATAACAAAATTCGCGAACCGATCATACAATCGATTGGTCCCCCCTACAATCGTTTGTGATCGTTTATTTTTTTTAAATTACCTAGTGCAATCGAATGTCATTGGGTGACAATCGATTGTCACTGCTACTTTTTCCAAAAAAAATAAGTTTTCAATTTATGTTCATCATCCCCTCGTCCCTAAACCCACATACATGACTCCAACTAATTCATACAAATTTAACAGACCCAAAACATGATTATTAACTGTGAATCATATCATCAAAAGCATCGCATATACAACACCTATTTTCATCACAATCTATAGTAATTCTTCAATAATTTCATCATCAATCGAATGCAGGGGTGACTTTCAAAATCATAACACTTTGTTCAAGTTTATTTGAAACCGGAGTGCCCTATACCACTTACATCAGTGGAGTAGACGACTTATTCAACAACAAAAGCTGAGACTTGGTCGGATCGATATGTGAAAAGGATGCAAGAGTTCACCAAATTGACTGACATTGAAAGAGAATCAAATGCACAAAAGATAAAAGGTGTACCACACATACTTATAGATTTACCTGGCGACAAATCTTTTGATTCGTTTTAGTTTTACGTCATCAATTAATTGTATGTAATTGCGTATTAATATTAATGAAGTGTAAAATATACAATTTCAAATATTTTAATACATTTTGATGCCTACCAAAAAATTTGTTCATTTTTCAAACAAAACACATAGGTTCTATTTTTTGTCTGGATTAGGAGAAGTTCTGGAGATGCATCTCTGAAACCTCCATTAATACAAGATAGAATTTTTAAGGTCCACATTTGTCTATTACTATAAATATAGGCTCTTGTATCATGTCTCATACAAATAGAAAATGTCACAAATGAACATTATTTGGTATATCGCAAATATCTTCTTTTTCGACGCGACACCTGAACAAAAGTTTATGAGTACACTCTTTTGCAGATCTACAATACGAAGTACATAATTTTCTATCTTCTGGAGATAATTGAAAATTGTGAAGCTTGAGTACCGTTCATCGTCAATTAACAACGAAAGCACGATTGAGTTCAAGAACTATGAACTCAAGACATATGCATATGTAAGGGCTATGTTGAATACATTTTTCCGTTTCGAAACAAAAGTTTCGATCGAGGTGGAAGCGACAATTTCAAGATTAGCCGAAGATATTGTGAAGATGTTGAAGCGTCCAACTAAATATTAAAATGTAATGTTTGATTTTATGTTAACATCACCTATGTAATGCTGAATGATAATTTTATGTTGTCAAAATACAACTTTTTTGTTTTCTGCTTCAGTTTCAGTATGCTAGAAGATGCATCTCCTGGCAGATTACAAAGATGCATCTTCAGATCCAAAAAAACCACATTCCTAAAACGTGACTTAAAATTGACATGAGATACTCAGAGATACATCTTCAAAATCAAAAAATATTTTTATATTTTCACATAGTACCTTAATAATATATTAGATACCTTCAAAAATCCTCATCTTAAATACACAAAAGAACCCCACTTGAATATTGCATCCACCTATATGAAATTTGGCCAGATTTCTTTTTACAAAATGCTACATGCATCAAAACAATTAAAGCAATATAGTTTCAAATTAAAATGTTATCCTTCTCATAATTATTGATCATTTGTAAAAGAAATTGTCTAAAAACAAATGATCCATTTTAATTTTTCACATAATATTTATTTCTTTTTTAAACTAGACATTCTAATTAATATTCTTTGCAACATTAACCTGAGAAATCAGCTTCTTGCAAAAAAATGGGAGAGGTTAACCATGCTTCTTGTAACACACATCTACGGTATGACCTTGTCTATTACAATGAGTGCAAAATGAATATACTTCTTGTAACCATTCTAAGCACTGTAACCTGCAAACATATGAATTATACCATGATCTTGTGGCTTTCTTGCATCATATGCATTAATCATAGTATTTGATTCTTTAGTATTAATAATATCATCATGTTTAGGAAGTAATTCAACATTGTTACTTTTCTCTTGAATCACCATAGAATAAATCTTGTAAATTAAATGGAGGGGTTGCATTAGTAGAACTTGAGTTTTAATAATAGAAAAACCATCATTCAAACTTATTAGAAACATAATAATTTGATTTACAAGGTGAAAATCTCATACAAAACGCATAGATTCACTTCTCCATTGGTGAATACAAGTGCAAATCGACATTGGAAAATGTGAATTAAGCACCTCTTAAAGGTCACATAGTTCAGTAAAGTAATCAATGATAGATTTAGAACTTTGTTTGAGATAATTGATCTCAACACTAAGATTTAAAACACGAATACAATTTCTTTTGTAAATTGCTCCATGGGATCAATCATTACTAAAAATAATATATTTTAGGACGATATTTTACCTCAACCAATAAATAACTAAGCTATGATTTCTAAACATCTTATTTTATTTAAAAAATATATATTCCCTCGGTTGGAATAGAAGAACGAGAAAAAAATTAATTAAGAGGATATGTATTGAATCCCAACACCTGTATTTTATGTTTTTATTTACTTATAAATAACACATTTCTTTTTATTTTATTTTTTATTTAAAAATTAAATGATCTATTCTTAGGTTACACTACTAACTAAGGGGTTTAGTACCCATATTTAACTATAAAAATATTTGTTCACTAAATTTTTTCTTAACTCTAACTCAGCTACAACTACACCAAACTCGTAAATATCATTCTTTAGGATAGATTGCAAGATAGAGAATCTTCAAGTTTTCTCAATTAGTTAAGAAATATTTCAAAGTTGTGCATCGCGTTCTTGATTTTACCAACCTTGAACAAAACATTTATATGTTCTTGCAATCTATCTCACATATTGGTGTTGTTGTTTCAACCTCTTGCAAGGTCATTGTTATATTTTTTTTAATAACTTCCTAATATTATTAGTAAAAAAAGACATTCTATAATTTATTGCTTTCCTTGGCTGATAACATTGAAAAATTTATTCTGAATCATACTAATAATATATTGCAATCGATGTTGTTGTTTTACAAAACAGGAGCTTAAAAAATTTGTTTTAAATATAGTCATTTGTTTGAATATTGCAACACGGTGAATGGTAAACAATTAAAAAAAGGAAACAATACTTGTTTAATTTTTTTTTTCATTCACCGTTTTTTTTTACAATAAAAGTAATATATTACTTTGATAGATTTAGACACCGAAGGGAAAAGTTCCTATTTTATTCTGAGTTTTATTTTAAAAAGAAAAAATCTTTTACCACGGTTTTGGTTAAGAACCGTGGGAAAAAGTAACTCAATTTAGTTAAGAAATAACTCAATCTTTATCGTCCATTCATAAAGTAACAATGCTCAAGATACTGCAAACACATCAATTCATAAGAAATCCTATACATTCAATTAGAATGATAACACCATAATTATATATTTTGGATGTTACGTTGTGAAACTCAACATTGATACTGAAAACATTTGTATTGAAAAT